AATGATTAAGTTGATGAAAATGCATGAAATGTGGAAATGTTGTTACCGCTCAATAAATATAAATGAGTATATGTTTGATTTGTGAAATTATATTGGAAAGGACATGGAAATTGTGATCACAATGGAAGATTGTGTGGAGGAAATTTAAAATAGAAAAATATTATAATGTATTGATATATGTTGCATTGGCATTTCAATTCATTTGGTTGTTAATTTTGAATTGAGATTTGAAAATTTTTGCATTGAGAAAAGAAATGTTTGTAACACAAGATCTCATTGATTTATTTTTGAGGTAAATACGTTGGTAAGTCCGGATAGGGGGTGTAATTGGTATTGGTTAAGTTGGCCTCAGTGTCTAGGGTGAAAGACCGAAAACAAACGCGGAGGAGGTACCATGTGCTTTCCAATTAGTTACTGGTAAAGTGGGGACTTGGTAGTGCATTTATGCCTACTAGCAAACACCAACCTAGGGATTACCTGAGTCGTACTTACCGCCCCTTGAACTTGATTGAAATTAATAAACTGTTGAATTTTTAAGTTTTCATTGTGCATGATGGTTTTCAAAAAGATAAAGATGCGATCCTTTTTTTTTTTTTAAACATAGCATGGCATATGCATTTCATATCATGAGGATTGTCTAAGATGTATATATTTTGTTAAGAATTTCCTACTGGACCTTGTGCTCACCCTATGGATTTTTGTACAAGAAATGATGTGTTGATTCTGCCAAATTGAGGGCTTGGAATGTATTTTGAGAGCACAAGGCCCTTGTTTTGTTGTAACTATTTTTGCAAGCCAAGGGATATATGTGGGTGGGTTCAAGCAACCATTTTGTATAACTGGGCTTAAGTCTTGGACTTTATTGCCCTTGAGAGCATTAAACTACTCATGACTGGTTATTTCACATGCTATAGATCCATGTACTAAAGTCGTTGAATGTATATTCGCATGTGGGACCTCCTCTTGTAAATCTCTTATAATTATGAATGCAAATGTATGACTTAAAAAAGCCAAATTGTATGTTATTGTTTGTAATCACTATCTTTACAATGACTAAATAATTATGTATTATTTTTTGGTCCTTGACCTTTTCCCCAACTATAATGATAACAATAACAATAAGTTAAATATTTTAATTCTACATTAAACAACAGGCTAAAAGAATACAACACAAATCATACACAACAGAACATTGAAGTCAATGCTTCAACCAAAGAGCAAAGAGCAGTTTGATTGATTAATATCCTTTCAACCAGAGAGCAATTTGTCTTTCTCATCTCTTAAAACTCATTGTAGACACCCCATTTTTGACCGACCTTAAGACTCAGACGTCACCGATTGAGCGCTTGGTGATGTTGCATAATGTGCTCGTTCAGAAGTTTCAGAGTCGCGGCCGTAAGCCCTACCTCCGGACTTCCGAACCCTTTTCTGTGCCTTGTCTCGGTTTGCGAACCAGACTCGGTGTTTGAACCGTGTGTTCTAATGTGGGCTGTGTGTTCCTGTGTGTTCGCAATTAATTAATGAGCCGAGTGTTCAGAAATTCGAATGTTGAAATTGCATGTTCAAGATGCAAGCAAAGTACTATGACATAAGCTAAACTGCGTGTTCAAGCATGGCAAAGGTGCGAAATCTTGGAAAAATACAGAAAATGAAGTAAATACCTCTCGGGCCTCATGAGAGAGGTGATGCTCCGGCT